AAAGAGATTTCGGAGAATTTCACTTACCGAAGGACAGATTCAACAAACACTCGAAGAGCCTTAATATGAGTCAAGGCGGAAAATGCCTCTCCAAAGTTTACTCTTAACCATCTGAACAAGGGTGCCTGAGATAGTAGTAAACATAGTTTATAACACTTACGAATTGGCGCTTTTTGTCAGATTCTAATTTTGTGAGTTCGTTCTTGCATTCCTCTATCTTTTTTTCATCATAGGTAAAATCTCTAACCACAAATCTAAGAGCTATTTCCATAAAATAAAAATACTTGTTTTCTCGAGCTCTATTCTTAAAATCTTCTACTATTTTTTGGAAAAGAGTCACAGTCCAGAGCCCATTGTCCTGATCTTCATAAATAAGTCTGAAATAACGATAATGCGATAACTAACTCGGAAGAACGAGGAACAACCATTTCTGTAAGAGTTTCGTATTTCGATTTCCAATCAGAATAAGATGCTCTACAAGTAGTGTGAAATCAATATAAATGTACTTGGAAACAACAACAACCAAGGTTGTAAAAAAGGAAGAGCCCAACACAAATTGTTCTTTTTTTACGATGTCACCAAGTGACCGACTTAGAAGACTTCCGCTATAAATATGAAAATATGTTAATCATTAGGACAGACGTTTGTCGTTTTTCCAGAGATTGAAGATTGCCTTTGATGCTATTATATGCTGTAGACTTGACTTTGAGATCACTTTCTATCTTCGATATTTGCTACGCAAAATTAGTTTTATAAGTTTTCATACTTCAGATAGAATATCAAAAAGTACACGAAGAGTCTGCTTAACTGGATATTTAGCAGAATCCCATTGAAACTTTATTAGGAAGGTTGAAGGGGTCACTATGGCTTAAAAAAAGCAAGAACCATACTTCCATTGACGGTCAGATTATCTTCCAATTTATGTCTTTGCTCTTCTAACACCTCACCCATATAATGAGCAACCTTTTTTGTTATCCTATGGAAAGTTAAAAAGCTTAAATTACGATTCAGCGTAAAGGTCTAGTTTTGACAGCTCATCAGAGAGTCCGACAAGAAGATCTAGTGTTCCAACCTAAAAATCACTAGTAAATTTTAATTAAAATTATACGACCTTAAGGTCGGTAGGTATGCAAAACCGATATTGGACACACAAGCCATTGTATTTAGATAAATTTGTGCTTAGACTCTGATACACTTGATCAGGATTCCTTTCAGCTGGGAGTGATATCATCCAAAATTCAGACATGATTAGCCTCGATTAAAAATGGAAATTGGCAAACAATAGAAATTGTGATTAAAGAGTAATGATTGAGCGTAGAGTACAGCGAAC